TCCTCCTTGTCTATTTTCACAAGGTTCTAATAGGTATGATGAAAAGAAATAATAGATGCTTGGAGCATTGTAAAATGCAAGGGGCTGTGCAAATGAGGACATAACTGTTCCTAGTAGTTAGCATAGTTAAATCTCTCCAGGAAATATTGGACAAATGCTCATCTTTCTTGAACTATTCTTCTCCTTCCTAGGAGAATGCTTGTGGGATGATGATGTAACATCAAGGAAAGAAAGTATGTGTGTCTGCATGTGTGTACACATGTGTGTGGGCATGGTGTGAGAGAAAGAAAGAGACAGGCCTTAGAGATGAGAGAGAAGAGGTGGACAATTAAGACAGGAGGGTAGCTCATGTGGACTTTCCAGGTTTAGTCCAAACTCGAGTTCCTTTTCCAATACTCATATAAAGCACTGGCCATAAGTGCTTTTAAAATATTTTATTAGAAGGAACTGAGCATATAAAAGGACAACTGTCCTGAAGAGGTATAAAACCTACCTCTTAATGTAAGTTGAAAAATTTTAAAAATTTAACTGTAGCCATTTAGTGATAAAGGGACAAAGGCCATTAATGCGTTGGTCACTAATGTGTTAACTTTAGGAATCTTGAAGTGTTGAGTCTCCTGTGGAGTTGGCCTCCTGTGTTCTGAGGCCTTTTAATCACTTGGATTTTAACTCTAATAAAAATGTCTGTACCAGCTTCCACTGCTGGAGAGTTAGGAGGTGGATTCGTTCCATTTTGAGTGACAGTCCTGGTTTAGGGGAAGATCCTTGGCTGCCATTTCATAAACAGACCTGAGCAGAGACTCTGATTCACTGTGTCTCTAGACCCAAACTCTTTGGAAATGCTAAGAACACGATTTCTTCTGTAAATCTATATTTACAGGCAAACCTGTCTCATTAAGGGCAAAAGGACACAGAAGGGGGAGGCACTGTTGCTGCCCTTTATATTCATACCAACATAAAAATTTCCTAAGCAAAGCATGAAATTCTTCTATGTCCTCATATTCCTTCTATAACATCTATTTATTTCAGTATTTCCATAGCAACTGCAGCTATGAAATTGCCCCAAACTTAGAGGACTTCTAATTGTATCAGCTTATGCCAAGGGAAAAAGCAATGATAACATTAATAAGATTAAGGTTTTATATTAGTAAATGATTTCATGATGACAAAATATCACACTCATTCATTCCTTCTCTTTGAAGACAAGAAACAAGTTAATATCTCCTTTTAATAAATGAGGATAGTGGCACTTAGAAATTAAGTGACTTACCCAAGGTCACACCAGATGAGCAAGGACTAGAATCAGTATATTCTATTTATATCACTCAATTTCTCAAGGAACCTTAGTGCCCTTCATTTTAATCTGTTCAGTTGATAAAAATCCATAAGAATAATAAAAACTAAGCTTTTAAGAAATCATCAAAGTAGAAAAACATCTTTGATTTTGCTAATTATATAAACTCAAATTAAAATAACTATTACATAACACACTTATTAAATTTATTCACAATAAATATAAATAAACCTCTTCAATAGTAGATAGGGTTATCATTTAATATATGGTCTCATTATTGCTGATGGTTCTGTAATCTGGAAAGATCTTTCTAAAGAAATCTAGCAAAAGTTCTCCAAATTGCTGTAAAGTAGACTTGGTAATATAAATCAAAGAACTGATGCTAAGAAAGTAATTCAAAATAAAATACCATAAAGGTTTTACTCAGTTATTTATAGGCAAGTTATTTATAATATTAAGGCTGGAAAATACCCAGTACCTTTCCAGGGGCAAATGGTTTTAGAAAGTAGTTTGTAAAAACAGTGCAAAACTAAGCAGGTAAGAAGCTGAAAATAAAGGTTATTAACAATGGAAAGTCATATACATATTTATATTCAGTCAATTAATAGAAAATACCAAAGAAAGCATGTAAAAAATTATTGAAGAGAATTACAATGCCTTACAAAATCAACTGCTTCATTACAGCTCTGTACATGCAAGAATTAAGGATTCAAAAGACCATAGGAAAATATGAATAATCACTGAAGCGACAATAAGGATGTAAATGATATAGTTTCCCTCCAAATTATGGAAACATTTAACTTAAGCATGATTTTAAATGACTGATCAATAACTGATTAAGCAAGAATAAATTGAATATTAGATTGGTCTCCTTAGACTCGGAGCATCAAACATGGGTAGTCCTTACACAGAAACAATGAACTAAACCACTATCTTCAATATTATGATTTTATCAATGAAAAAGCAACAGCGAGGGTGCTGCCTGAGGCCCAGGCCTGGGTTTTCTCTGCCTCGTACAGGATGTCTTTTGGACAGCAGTTCCCACCAGTGGGCCGAGTGCCAACCTGGTTGCCTTGGCGGGTGCTTCCTGTCCCGAGGCTTTGGTTCTAAGACAGATGCCCCCAGGCCTAGGCTGTCCATAATACAAACTCTGACTTCAAAACAAACTTGTTTCATTTTGTTCTGTCAGCTTCCCCAGTCCCCCCAAAAGAAAACTCTTTATAAATATCTGATATGGCAGCTTATTGGACCAATGAAAGTCCAGAAGAAATAAAAATACTAAAGCATCCATCTGAAGACTGGAAGGCTGTGCTGAACTCTGAAATCAAGATTGAACATGGGTCTTTGAGTAAAGCTTGTCGGAATTCTGATAAGAATTAAATTACATTTTAGAGTCACCATGGATAGATCTCATTAAAGAAAAATCCTGATTAAAGGTTTTATGGGGAAGAGAAGTCAAAAAGGATGGTAAGAGTCCCCATTATGTGACATCACCCAGCTCTTGCAAGGATGTGATTAAATATTTCCCAGACAGTGTTCCTCGTCATGAGCATAGTACACAAATGGGCAAGCAAAGCCGAAGGCCTCACATCCTGGAGGGTTACTGAGCTCCTGGACCTGAACGAAGAGCGAAACCTGAGGCCACGCACTGTAGAACCCCATGATTCAGCCAGGTTAGACTTTCTTCAGTCTTACTACATACTCAGGAGAGCAAGCAAAGAATTGAAAAATGGCAGAGGGGTGGTCTGATAGGCTAAAACAATTTCCTAAAGCTCAGTGAATCTCATTGCACATGTAAGATTCTCACACTCAGAAATACTAAATGAGCCAGAAATTTTATCAAATTATTTTCAGAGCAGCATTCATTCTACTACCATTCCCTGAGCAAGCCAAGTGTGCTTTACAACGATTGCCTCATTTCATCCTCAGAAGCCTCTGGGAAAAATCCTGCAATCATCCCCATGATATATATGGGGAAACTGAGGCTTAGAAAGATCAAATAACCATCTCAAGGAGACAAGGCATTAAGCAATGGAATCAAATCCAAACCCATGTTCTTCATACCATGTTATATTATTTCCCAATATTTTTCATATGATTCCTAGCTTATAAAGAATAACAAGAAAACCAAAGAAGGCTGCTATGGGAATATAATTAAAATAGCAAGAATCCACAGTGTAGTCCAAAAAAGGATGAACAGAAGAACAAGAGCTACAAAAAATACAGCAGTCTGTAGTCAGTGTAAGGACAAACAGCTGTAGGCGCTTCTAGAGGCTCTGCTGAGGTCACTGTCACAGAGCTGCAGGGAATGGTTTCCTTGTGGGGGGTCTCCGTCACTATCGGTGACAGTTTACACAGTCTGTTTACAAAGACGGGACATTTTGTAAGTTTCTGTTTTGACCAAAGATTTCAAAGACAGATATTTGAAATATTATTATTTCCTAAAGGGGTAAGCTTTTGTTCACAAGATTTTCCCTGATAGACAATTGCTCCTTCCAGATCAACAGGCATTTATGGTGCTCGTGTTTATGCTCTGGACAAACTAAAACTGTGTGGCATCTATGAAGAATATGGGCCAAGGGGTGTGAAGAACTGAATTTAGCCCTGGCTCTGACACTAATGATAGAATCTAAGAGGTCACTCTGCTCCTCTCTGCATCTCTGTATTCTCACTTCTAAAGAGAACAGTTAGACAAATGATCTTCAGATTTTTTTCCCCATAGCACTATAATGATGCTATATGTGTTTTAGCTGCTTTTGGGAGGAAAGTGAAATAAATTCAAACTGCACTCAAGGCTTCTTTTATGTTGAAATGCCTGGGTACTGAGGTCAAACTATGCCTCTCCTGTGAGTTGTCAGAAAACCACTGCTGTTTTCTGTTAATGAGTGTTAAACACATTAAAATCATGCAGAAGGATAGCAAAGAAGTTTACTTTAGATTTAAAGAAAAGTTTATGTTCACTCATCAAATCTCTCTATCAGAAGACAGTTTAATGTGTAGATTTAAATAGCTGGGCAAAAAACTAAGTTAGTGTGATTATGAATACTTTAACCCAGATATGTCATTAAAATATAGATATTGTATTAAAAAAAAAAGAACAGGACAAAAAAAAAGCAAGAAAGAAAATAATTATTAGCTCAGTCATCAATACTATTCACTTCCTCTCAAGGTGCTCTATAATAAAGTGTTTATCTGTTTGCATCACTGAAAATTTGCTGGGTAAGTTAGTTAAGAAACCTTTTGGGTAGATAAGAGGTGATTCAAAGGCCCAGGAGTTTGAAAGAAGATTGACAAGTCCAGAGGCCCTGCAACGTTTCCCCATAAATACAAGCAGGTTTTCATGAAAATGCAAGGTAAAACCTAATGACAAGAGGTGTGACTGTGCTACTTGGGAAACCATCTGTTGCTTCAGGAGGAATGTGCTAGCTTGTACATGTATGCCCGGAAGGCACAAGGTGATCAGCTTCTCAGCAGAACACTAACTGACGAGCAGCACCATCCCAACATACCTTTCTGACCTCATACAAACAGGGGACACATGGAAACAATTAAGGCCAGCCAATTCACCCACCCACCCACACCCCCCCACACACACTGAAGCCTGAGGAGAAATAAAATATCTGATGGTGGCATTTTATCTGGAGTGATTGGTATGTTGCCAAAGAAGACACCTTTGCAATATACTGAGGACCAAGTCTGAACTCACGATGTAGCAGGGCTCGCAGTAGGCTTTCTTCTCCACGGCGTAGAAGGGCTGCCCCCGGAGCTTGTTGTTGCAGACAATGCAAGTAAAACAATCCACGTGGAAGACTTGATCCATGGCAGTGCATCCTGTCCCTTCCCCAACTACGTTTTCCCCACAGCGAGCACAACGACCTGAAAGTTAAAAAAAAAAAAAAAGGTAGACTGTTAAGAACACAGAGAGGGACACTGTTGGCCCTTCTAGAGAAGCCAGCGATGGGGGGTGGGGATAGAGATTCATAATGTCCCCAGCAGCAAAGGACCACCACTTCTGCCACCATCATGAGCAAGAGTGACAGCATAGTGCCCCCAGCCCCAGGAAGGCTGCCACCATGGGGATTTTACATGAGTCATTTGAGGAGATGATTCTCACAGCCCAAGATCCCAGAGAAAGTGACAGAGCAGAATTCACGTCTCCTGATGTTGAGGCCAGTCTAGGAGTCTTTTCTACCTGGAGAGTCTATACGCTCAGTTAGACTATGAGGGAACAGGCTCCAAATTCAAATTTCAACTCCTTTCACAAAAGCCTGGGTGGTAAAATCTCTGTGTTCAGCTCTCAGGGACAGGTGGATTCAAAGACAGTCCCTTCTGATTACCAGAGAGCTCTGACAGCTAGAAGTGTTTTTTCATACTAGGCCAGAATGCTTCACCCTAACTGCTGCCTAATAGTTCCAGCCCTGTCTCCCAGGGCCTCATGAAACAAGTCTCCTGTCTTATACTTGACACCTTTTAAGATATTACAACTTCTTAGTGTTGCCTCCAAGTCTGTTCATAGTTGGACCATCCCTACATCCTTCAACAGCTCCACACACTGTATGTAGGGTTTTGAGTTCCCCAGGGCCCTTGCTGTCATGCTCCAGCCCAGTGTTCTGTAAACTTTCAGCATTCCTACATTGATTTGTGGGGCATCTGGACAGCATATGAACATAAGGTTTAGGTTTTAAAAAATTCACATTAAGTTTTAAATAATAACAATAAAACATAATTTAGGAAAAACAATTACGTCTGGGAGAGGCATTGTGCTGGTTGCAATCTGTATCTAAATTTGGCTCCATCCTGGGATTCTCAAGCCAGAGGTTAGATCCACATCCAGTTTCCTTTCTTATTCTTAATTTCCACTGAGGGGAAAAAGTCTTCCCAAATTACAGGTCACTGGGAATGCCAACAAGAATCTGTAGGTTTTTACAGATAAGCTATAGCTTATCATATGTGTCAGGCATTTTCTAGGTGCTTTATATATATTAACTCATTGCATATTCACAACTTGTATGATAGGTACTGTTATTATCCCTATTTTACAGATGAGGAAAGAGTTAACTAACTTCAAACCCAAGCACTCTAACTTCAGTGTCTATGGTGTTAACTGCTATACTATCTTGCCTCTGCCTGGTTCTGTGCATCAGGACTAAAACAGAGCTGACATTATGGAGAGATTTTTCACTGAGGACTGCTTTCAGCACTCCATCATGTTGGATTGACAACCATTTCACACCTAAAACTGGGAGGGCTAAATATTTCACCATGGGAGAAAAGAGGCAAATATATTTCTAACTCTCTCCGATTGCATTGGCTCTGAAAAGGATTTCTTTATATTCCATTGCAGGATTTGAATGTATCTTTAAAATGCTGTTCAAACTATGGATTTTTCCCTTAAGGAATAAGAAACATCAAGTGCTGGAAAAGAGTCAAACTTTTGGAAACTGAGCTGCCCCATGATAATTGATATTATTAGGAAGTATGGATAACTTATTCTTGAAATTTGATAAAAGCTCGTGTATAATATTTGTAATAAACTTTGTGGCTTCTTTTCAAAACTTCTATCCAAGGGTTAATTTGTGTCTGTTTTTATTTTAAGATGTATAACCTTAGATGCTTTAAAATTTTTGAACTTTCACTGCCTTCAGTAACAAAATTGGATTATTTCATATGGTACTGTTTTTGTAAGTATTCAGAAAAAAACTTAATTGTGAGTTTACTAAAAGTTCACAGGGCTATGTTTGCAAATGATGCTGAAATTCTGACAGTTTCATGCCACTGACAACATTTCACAGAAAACCCACTGGGGAATTGCAGGCAAACAGATCACCAGGTCATAAAGTTTTATTTTTAAAGAGTTATCATACTTGATATTCAATTTTTTTCAACTGCTTGTGTAAAATCATATTAGTCCCAGCATATACAAATTCACCCCAATATTTATATTGGAATCTGGTTCACCAAAATTTACATAGGTAATATTAATCTGAAGTGGTATTTATGGTATTATCTTTATTACCATTTTTTTTCTGCCTTCATTGAATCATATTCAAAATCACTGATCTATTTTGGTGAACTGAATAATATGATATAACAATAATAATGAAAAATGTAGGTTTAGGAGCAGAAAAAGAGTACTAATGACATGAAAATACTCTGAGCTGAATGGCACTGTTATTGAACATTGTTTCAACACACCAATTAACACAGATTTTGTGGTACATGTGCAATCTTTAAGAATGTGATGATTATTAAGAGCATATTTGACTCCTATGAAATTATAATATTACATTTCAAATTTGCTAAATACAGGTCCACAAAATTATTTTTACTTATTACTCTTTCCCTTTCTAGATGCCAAACTGGACTCCTTGATAGTCCATTATGGATTACTAGTGATGTGTGGACCACACTTGGGGAAAAAAAAATGTTCCAGCCAAATATTTTGGACGTGCGGTCATAATGGTTGATGAGACAGTTAGAAGTAGCAATTCTGATCTACACCCTGGCTGGCCCAAAGTGTAATATCTGGAATCTAAGATCCCAAGCCTACATGGGAGAGATCTGGGAGAGAATTTCAATCACTGATTAGAGGAAAGTCAGAGCAGGGCCCCTAAAGGTCAGGCTGAAAAGATAAATTTTGGGATTTTCATTCTATTCAACAGACATTCCCCAGGTATCTACTCTTTGCCAGTGTTACATTCTGTTCCTGTGTGATAGAGAGAAGTGTATTAGACAATGTCAGCATCTTTCACAGTCTTTAAAGACTATATACACCCTATAATCACAAGCAAAAATATGCCAAGGGCCACAAAGAAGGTGCTATGGAAACGTGGAAAGATGCTCACATGCGAGAAGCCTCAGGGGAAGTTTTGGGGAGAAAGAGGTGTTCAAGCCCAGCCTTGAAGGAACTTTGACAGCTGGAGATGAAAGAGAGAAAAACATTCTAGTTTTTCTAAAGAGTGAATGAGTGGCTGGGACTACTGGACCCCAAGCCCCTGCAGTAACGTGGTGTTGGCACACAGGCTTTGTCTTCTCAGTGGTGAAAGCAGACTGTATTCATAAGGAACAATCTTCTCCTTTATATTTTGGAAAATATTCTTCCAGAGTGGCTCAGGCTAATATGCTGGACCCAGACATGACCAGATCTGCTGCCTCCCGTATTTTTCCTTTCCTATTCTTGGGAGAAATTGGGGACACTAGGCTCGAGGGCAGTCAGTCTGGCACCTTTAAAATCACAAGCACAGAAAAAGAGTGAAGAACAAAAAATAAAAATAGCCCTACACATCAGCAGGACAGAAAAGGTGTCCGAATGTTCCCTTTTCACATTAACAGAAATTGACAAACTATGTCTTTTAGGGAGAGATTCACAAAAGAAAGCATGGTGTATCCTTGCCTCTTGAGGGGCTTACACCACATGTCATTAAAAACATACCGCAATCCTAATGCCCATCCGTTAGACAAGTACCTCAGAACTTTTAAACAAGAAAAGCTAGGTGAATGGTAACAGACTGGAAGGTATCAGAGCATGAAGGAAACACAGATGATTAGGGGTCATCAGGAAGATCAAGTTCAGACCCAGGGCTGGTCTGAAGAGCTTGCTGGCAAAGCTTAGCAGCGCAACTTAAAAAAAAAAAGAAATCCAATGACAGAGGATCAGACAGCCTAGGGAGAATTTTATCAGTGAATTAAGACACCTGGACAACAACTACAAAAGCTTGTTTGTATTTATGTTGCTTGTTATATATATTGCTTCGTGTCTACTGGGGAGTCAGTCACGGGTTCTGCTTTCTCACCCTGCCTCCTTACCCCTCAACTACTGCAGCCTCTGTGATGTCTCTGAAAGGCTTCCTTTCCACCACACGCCTGCTACTTAAATGGGGCTCTGCTATCTTTCATGGGCTATCACAGTGGCTTCCTGACTGTTCCACCATCTCTGAATGATTTCCTCTTATAAATGAAAAGATTTTATGGATGTCTTAGTATTTGAGCTATATCTGGAAGGTTACATAGAATTTGCACATCTTTAGGAAGGGCATAGGTGGACGGTGACATTACAGCCAAATCAATATGCTGAATTGGAAATGGAGTAGAGGGATATGGGTTTTCAATTTTAGTGACTCCGGTTTTCTCTTAGTAATGTGAGTTTATTTCCTTTATAATGTGAAAAATCATTTTTTAATTAAAAAATATTTTCCTTGTGATTATTGTGCCATTAGTAAATAAGCCATAGACCTTCTTTTGAAAACACTGATTGTTTTTGTGGTGGGACGAAAAAATGTCCTTAGCCATTTGAGAGTTGGTACCATAGTGATTGGGGGTGACATACTCCTAAACTTACACATTATTCTACATCAAAAGTAAAATAGAAAATTTATGCAGACCTCAAGCCAGCTCACATTTGTCTTCACGTCCTCCTTGCTACTTGACTTATAACAGATATTTTAGGCACAAGTAAAATTAATATTCTATCTTTAAATATTATAATGAATTGAAACTTTATATGACCATTGTATGATAAACCAGCTTTTTCTCTTAAGAATCTTCAAAAATCCAAAACAAAGTCCTGTTCCAAAAGATGAATTGATAAGGTTATATCAGGGTAGTGAAATGATGGTCAAGTATTCCTAGAAACAAAGCTTGCTTCAATGTATCCTACATACAGCCACTGGGGTTATCTTCCTAACACACAGCCTCCAAATATCTTCCATAGAAGGGACAAAAAGATAATGGGACGTTTGCCTTCTTTACATGACAGGTCCTGTGACATTCACTCAGGGTTCCAGGGTGATGGTATTTTCTAATCACTGATCCTTTTACGTTATAGAACCCTGCAGCATGAATGAATATAATAAGAGACAACCTGTTTTTTTAAAGTA